TCCGGGTCACATGATAGAGAGGGCTTACAATCGAACTGTAATTTGGGATGTGCATTCTCCAGAACCCCACTGCACCCAAGAAAGCTTGCGTTTCTTTCTTATTAGTTGGCGGAGACATTGCTGTTATCTTGTTGATCACATCTGTGGGGATCTGTCTACGTCCATCTTGCCATTTTATTCCCAAAAATTGAATCTCCTGTGCAGGTCCCTTGACCTTACTCCGTTTTATGGCAAAACCGGCTTTCAGCAGGATTTGGATTATTTTCCTCCCTTTCTCAAAGACTTCTTCCGCTGTATCGCCCCACACAATAATGTCATCAATGTATTGCAGGTGTTCTGGAGCTTGCCCCTGTTCCAGTGCAGTCTGGATCAGTCCATGGCAGATGGTAGGGCTGTGTTTCCACCCCTGGGGCAGTCGGTTCCAAGTGAACTGGACACCCCTCCAAGTAAAAGCAAACTGTGGCCTGCACTCTGCTGCCAAAGGGATTGAGAAAAATGCATTGGCAATATCAATCGTGGCATACCACTTGGCTGCCTTTGACTCTAGTTCATACTGAAGTTCTAGCATGTCCGGTACGGCAGCACTCAATGGTGGTGTGACTTCATTCAGGCCACGATAGTCTACTGTTAGTCTCCATTCTCCATTAGACTTTCGCACTGGCCATATGGGGCTATTGAAGGGTGAGCGGGTCCTGCTGATCACCCCCTGACTCTCCAGTCTACGGATCAGCTGATGGATGGGAATCAGGGAGTCTCGGTTGGTGCGATATTGCCGCCGGTGCACTGTTGTGGTCGCAATTGGCACTTGTTGTTCTTCAACTTTCAGCAACCCCACAGCAGAGGGATCTTCTGAGAGACCAGGCAAGGTGGACAGCTGCTCAATTTCCTCAGTCTCCAAAGCAGCAATACCAAAAGCCCACCGGTACCCTTTTGGGTCTTTGAAGTACCCTCTCTTGAGGTAGTCTATGCCGAGAATGCATGGAGCCTCTGGACCAGTCACAATAGGGTGCTTTTGCCATTCCCTCCCAGTCAGGCTGATTTCAGCCTCCAGCACAGTCAACTCTTGGGATCCTCCTGTTACTCCAGAAATATAGATGGGTTCCACCCCTTGACAGCTTGATGGCATCAGGGTACACTGTGCACCGGTATCTACTAGAGCCTTATACTTCTGTGGGACTGATGTGCCAGGCCATCTGATCCACACAGTCCAGTAAATCCGATTGTCCCCTACCTCCACCTGGCTGGAGGCAGGGCCCCTCTAACAGTCGTCACAGCATTGGACACTTAAGTCGTGTTGAAAGGGATTATTCTTCTTTATCACAGGAGCTGGAGTAAAATCAGCTCTTCCACTCCATCTGGGAAACTGATCACCAGAGACTGAAGCCGTAGCTCTCATGGGACGATCAGTCTTGGCCCTTGCTCCCCTCTTCAGTTCACTCACCCGTTCCTCCAAAGCTGAAGTAGGTTTTCCATCCCACTTTGTCATGTCTTCTCCGTGATCCAGCAGGTAAAACCATAGGGTACCCCGTGGCGTATACCTCCTGTATCTCCTCTCTTGAACAATAGGACGCCTTTTGTTAATAGCTGAGACGTGTGTTGGTACACGTGAGGAGCCGGATAAATCAGATAGATTGTCCTTCAATTGTTCGATGTCCTGGGACAGTTTTTTCACAGCTGAGATGATGGAAGGGGTGAGATTGTCTTCGAACTCTCGGAGTTTATGAACCATTTCATCCACTGTTAGTGGTACTATGTCATTCCAGGTTACTGTTGCCAATGAATGGGCATATGATGACGGTGCATTCCGTGTAAGTTTTCGCCACATGGGTCGTGTACATTCAACTTCATCTGGATCTATAGGTGTATCCCCGTTATTCGGCTTGATGTGATAGATCATCTCTACGATGGCCGATTCCCTCAGAGACTGGATGCCTTTGTCTATAGTATTCCACTTGGCCGAACGACTCGTAACATCGTCCTTGTACGGAAACCTTTCTTTCACAGCTGCCAAGAGCCTCCTCCAAAGGCTGAGGGACTTTTTCTCTCTTGCAATTGCTTTGTCAATTCCCCCTTCTCTAGCAAGTGATCCCAGCTGCTTGGCTTCTGTACCTTCTAGTTCGTGACCATCAGCCCCATTGTCCCAGCATCGGAGTAACCAGGTGATGATGTGCTCCCCTGGTTGACGGGTAAAATCTTTTCGCATATTCCGCAGCTCGGTTGAGGTCCGAGGTCGAGAAGTTACCTCTTCTTCTTCTTCTTCGTCATGTGATGATGACTCCTGATCAGATTCTGGACCGGGTGGTGAATTCATTGGTTCTTCATCTCGCTTCACCCTTTTTGCCTCCTTTTTGCTTGTTCTCTTGCGTACAGGGGCAACTGATATTGGTACGAATTGGTCCTCTGGTTTGGCTGCAGTGATTATCACTGTGGTTTGAGTAGCAACTGTACTTGTTACTGGGGGTGGTGTAGCTACTGTGCTTGGAGCTGGGGTAACCGCGCTGTCTGTTGCAGTTGAAGTTTGAGCAGCTGCTGTACTTGCCACTGGGACAGCTGTGCTGTTCATTGCAGCCAAAGTTTGAGTAGCGACTGTTGCTTTGCCCTCAGATCCGCCGACATTCTTTTCCTTTTGAAGGTGCTGGATAGTGTTGAACAAGGCCCTGTAAGCATAGGCCAAGCCCCAGCACGTTGCCATGATTTGTCCATCTCTGGTATGGCCAGAATGACCACACACCTCATTTAAGTGTTTTACTAATTCTTCTGGATTTTGCAGTTGTTCAGTAGTGAAATTCCAAAGTACTGGAGGGGCCCACTGACCTAGATACTTGCCCATACTATCCCACACACCCTGCCACTCATGGCTGTCCAGCCTCAGGGAAAATCTCTCGGTCCTCCTACATCGTCGTTTGACCCCAGACAAGACCCAAACCTGAATCTGCTTAACTCTTGAAATCAGTAGTGGGTAAAACACACTCTGTATGCGTGTTAGCATGGTGATTCCCATCACCATCAGCAAACAAGTCTCAACAGCATTAAAAGGCCATTCAAAAAATTCAAAACTCTCAAATGTAAATGGTCTGGGGGGACGACTAGGAGGGTAAAAGGATGTCTCCTTCCCAGGTTGAGCACCTGAGAAGGAGAAAAAAGATGTGTAATTGCTAAGCACCTCCATCATATACCTCCCAAAGTATAAAGGTGGTGACCACACTGGGAACATAAGCCAGATCAATTTCATGATCAATGATTCTATTGTATTACAAGTCATTACCATAAAGTACAATGGGATAAAAACCTTAGCCCAAGCCCCATACTTGAAAAACACTAATACAGCAAGTACCGGATGGACGTAAGATATCATATACTGAAACTGTGAGATCAAGAGGAACAACCTTGAGAGCCAATAAATCAGCATTGTGACGAGTGACTATCAATCCAGTCAGATCTGTTCTTATCTCAACCCTTCGTGCCCCACGTTGGGCGCCAAAAAGAACTGTCGTGGTTTAAACCCAGTCAGGTAGCTTGTTCACTCACTCCCAGTGAGTGGTGCCGAGCTGACAACAATCGAGGTCCGTGTCCGTCTCCCCCCCCTGCCTCCCCGCACCGGGGCTCTCCCCTTCCCCGCTCCCGGAGGAACGGGGAGGAGGATCGAGAGAGTGCAACTCCTACGGGTTGAGACAAAAACAGTCCAGCAACAAATCACCACCGCTACTATCAGCTACAACAATGATAAGGGAAAATAACAAGGGAAGAGAATACGATACCACCGGCCAAGAGAAACGAGCTCCACCCGGAAACCCCTGTCCTTCCGGGTCACTCCCAGTTACCCCTCACCCCGGGCATGACGTGCTGTGGTATGGAATACCTCCCCGGCTAGCCCGGGTCAGGCGCCCCGTCTCTGCTTCCTCACAGCCTCCCCTCCTCCCTGGCAGAGCATGAGCCTCACAGAGTCCTTGGTCAGGGTAAACATCATTTAGCAACAACCGAGAACATCGGCTTCACCAACACTGTTCTCAAACTGGAAGTCAAAACACAGCACTGTACCAGTTAACACAAAGGAAAAACATGACTGCTACTGCGGAACCCAGGACAGATACTGTCCATCTTCAGTCTGGTAGCATGTGAGTAACTTGCTGTGCGTGAGCATGACCTGATCTAACCCGCAATTGGGTAAGTCAGGCAGGACCTCCACAGGCAAAAAAGGCTATTGTAACAGGACAGGCAAACAATTACACAAGACCAACTAGTTGGTCCAATTAGTAGATCCAGTTGCATTTCATAGTTACCTATGAATTATGAGAATTATTTCTCACACAACAGGTGCCAGGGACTGCTGCAAGATGCTAGAAGATCATCGCTCTTTACAAATTCATTGACTAACAGAAAGTAACTGGGAAGGTGTAGCTATTTAAACTAAATCAGAACAGAGGGGAAAAGGAGCTACACATCAGCCATTACTGTCCCAGCACCAGAAACGGTCATCTTCTTTTTAACTTTGACACAGCTTAATTTCCAAAATGATCTTGTGGTTAGCCTTCTTTGCAAAGTATAAATACTATTCCATTCTTATACAAAAGAAATTCAGCTGTTTGTGTACACACAGACCTTGACAGCAAGTCCTTGAAAGAACACCAACGTGAAACGACACAGCCAGTACACTCAGAGCACTGATTTAGCTGAAGGCCAGGAAGTCCCTGCTAAGAAATGTGATGTTAAGGTAAAGTTCTCAGTGAACTTGTGTACTTTAACTGAACTTGTACATACAAATGGGATAATCAGTGTGACATGCTCTCATACAACTTACTTATTAGTTATATTAAGGTTTAAAAATTGTATCCTATAATTGCTGCATTTAAATGAAGCCATCCAATATAGAATGGAATTGCTTGAATGCATCTTCACTGGTATATAAGGAAGCAGCCTTGTTGGATGACACGTTACCAACTCTTTCCAAACACTGAATATACTCGAGAATAAAATTAAGACACGAGTGAGATCACACAAGGTTTTGGTAATTATTTTTATGTTGACTTTATAACTTTTTTGGTTTCTTTAGGAAATTCCTTCACAGTGAAAGGAATGAAGAATTCCAGAAGAGAGTTGACATCCTTCAGTTCCAGACTGTATTCCACTGCTATTTTCTCTGCAGTCCATATTTGAGGATTAAGTTTATGATTATTAAGAAGTGTCAGAGCCTCCACAGTGGAAATTTTGCCTTTGGAAACTTTCTTAATATCTGCATCTCCCAAGTGGCCTAGTTTTGTAAGTCTCTTTTCCTCCTGTTTATGTGGAAGATGTTCACCACCTCCATCTTTTACCTAATTGTGGGAAGGAAAACAAGAAGAGCTTAACAGCAGTTCTGTTTGCTATGCTTATTGTAGCAGCCAAGCCATTTTCCTAAATACAGCATTTCCCGTTAGCTTTCCATATTTTCACAGCATTAAAACCCAGAAATAATGCTCGGCCAGCCTTGCTTCTTGACATCACAGAAATTGTCAGTTCTTCCACAGCCATTCTACATATGATGTCAACTCCCACCCAACTTCTGAAAAGCTACCATCTACTGAACTCTAAGTGTTGTACAGACTTAGCAGCCCTTCATACAAGTCAAACCATAGCTTTTGGTAGCCAAACATAAATGCAGATAACCTAATATTTGGTACTGATTCATGGCAAGAGGAAAATCAATCACACTACAAATTGGTATACAAATCCTTCTGATACCACCGGAAATCTTTTTCATACAGTTTCCTCTTCCCTTCCTTTCTTTTTCAGATTTTAGTTTTGCAACTAAAAGATATCTCTTCTTTTGCTCTGTATAGAGAACAAGCTTTACTGGACAAAAAGAAGATTCTGCAGCATCATACGGAGTTTAGTTCCCATGACTACTACAGTACTCAGACATGTGAATTCTTTCCTCTCAAGTCATTTCCAAACCAGATCTGCCTTTCTCATATTGTCTTTTATTAATTAACCAGCGAATGACACTGGAAAAAAGAGAATGAAAGCCATTCTTAAAGTTAAGAAAAAGTTCTTTTAAAATGATGAGTCCACAGCCACTGATCAGCCCACAGACACCCTGTATTAATTCACAAGCTGAAAAAACTCATGTGAATGCTACAGCATCTATAATCACATGCCCATTTCTAAACTACACAGGATCTCTGATGATGCTGCCAGTTCTCCATTTTTTTCTTTTGTGCGCAAACTGTCCCCAGATAATGAACAATCTTTCAAGTGTCTGTCCCTGGGTATCTGCCACTTAAAGAGTTGGTGCTCTTCCACTTTCTGCAGACAGACCTAGCATCAAATATACACATATGTATGTATACACAAATACATGATGCACAGAGTATTCAGAATAACATAAGGAAAGGCAGAAAGTTTTAAATGAAGTTTTGTCCACCAGCCTCCATGCCAACACATTAATCACACTCTTCCTAACAACTGCAAGCAGACACACCACAAGAGCAAGACTTAACATAGCAGCAACCTCAGAGTAGACATCGAAAGAAGCACTAAGATTATTCCCCTTTTGGCTTTTTCTCTCTCTTGACAGGCTTACAAATGAATATTGAAAGAAACTGAAATCAGACCTTCAGTACTTCAAGACTAGAGTCCTTAACGCTATTATGAACATTAAGGACAGAGATCACCTGGAAACTTCAGGGAGACACTGCAGAAATCTCTTTGCATTTTTGAATACTTTTAGTCTTGAATACAAGGTGCTATGAAAGTGGCTAATTAGACTTAGGAATATTACTGCTGGATGATTATAGAACTCTTGTTACTGAATAAAGCAACTAGAGTAAAGCAGTCCAGTAATGCAACAGGGAAAATGCACAAGACGTAATGTAACATGCTGGAAAAGGGGAGACTGAACCCCAGCATTATGCTGGAAGGGGTATGCTTTGCCTTCCAAGTCAAAGACTGCAGCTTTTGGCAATGAGGAAACTGATCACCAAACAATCCAGAAGGCTATGCAGAAAAAAAAACCCTAGCTATGGCACTTCCTCAGCTACATAAGGAAAAGTCTCTGCACAGCATGACATTAACATCAGCAGTTAAAGACTCCACTAAAATGTCAATGTCTTTGTCCTCTACCCCATCCATGCTTCCACAGTAGTTCCAATCTCTTCTAAAAACTCTATGTCTCGCAAACTCCTGTGCCTTTGCAAAAGGTTGGCCAACCATCCTGCTGCCTTAGGGGAAGCAGAAGTGTAATTCAGGTGAGAAACAAAGTAAGATCAACAGCATGTTAAAAGGAAGACTGTGTAGCATTTAAAAACTTGTACAATCGCGATCTGTCACATGTTCAAGACCCAGGGTCAAATACAGTCACTGCTACTGATCTATGAAAGAGTAATGAAAACATCGCTTTTATCTTCGAGCATCCTGAGCTAGTGTGAGGTGTCCCTGCCCATGGCAGGAGTTGGAACTGGATGATCTTTAATGTCCCTTCCATCCCTAACCATTCTATGACTGTACCTCTAAAAAAAGGTAGCTTTTCAGCACTAACAGAGCATTTCCCTCTCTACGGAACTGCTGCCGAGTTTGAAAACCACAAAGCTGATGCTAGGATGCCTCCTGCAGAGAGACATGCTCACCCGCACAGGTGAATCTCTGGACTGGACATAAACATCTTTTAACAAGGCGAGGAGCCTATCGTCCTTCCGGTAAATTTCTTCTTTTATGCCGGGGTGGTCTAAAGGGAGGGGACGGAAGGTAGAAGAGAGAAGGCAGGTCTGAGTCACACGTTTCACTGGGTTAGCGCTGCCAGGTTAACCGCTCCCGCGACGCAAGGGGCTCCCTCAGTGCCGGCGCCGAGCCGCACCTCACCGCGCTGAGGGGCGCCCTCCACGGAGCACACCCGGCCCCGGAGCCCGCCCCCGGCAACCGCCCCAGCAACCAACGCCGCCGGCTGCGGCTCCCGGCGTGCCCCGCGCGCCCAGCCGCCCCGCGCTCAATGTCACCGGCCCCGCGCCGCACCGGGACGCGCTACGGCCCCCCGGCTCGCCCCAGCACCCGCTCTGGTCCTTCCGTGCTGCGGCCCCGCGCTGGGACCACAGACACCGGTGCCACCCCCCCCGCCCCGCCGGCAGCCTCCGAGGCCGGGACGCACCGGGCATCTCGTCCCGCCGGGAGGTGGGGTGCCGCGGCGCGGGCCTGGGCTTCTCCCTGCTGATCTCGCGGCGGGCCCGGCTCTCCACGTTGAAAGTGCGAAACACGCGGGCCAGGCGTCCGCCCATCGCCGCCGCCGGCAGCTCCCGAGCCGCGCCTGCGCGGGACAGCAGCACATGCGCAGCGTCTAGCGGCGGGGAAAGAGGCTGCGCCTGCGCCCCGCTGACGGGTAGCGGAGGCGGGCAGACCGCTGGAAGTCGCCGTGTGTTGTGCTCTGTTCGCTCTTGCCGTGGCCCTTCTACCCGCGCGGGTTACCGGAGCCACCGGGGACCGTCCCCACACCGGTGGGAGCTGGCCGTTACGTCATGTCGCAGCTGTCGCCGCCTGGTTTATCCGCTAGGTTGTGGTCGGGAGGAGTTGGTGCGGGAGCGGAGCGAAGGCGGGGCCGCGCAGAGCCGCGGTTGGGGTGGTGGCCGGGGTATACGTGTGTGCGTACGTGTAACGCACCTCATCCGCTTCTTAAATCTAAGTTTGTGATGGAGTAAGGGTAACGTGAAAGCTGGGGGCGTTGTGCCTCTTACTGTCCCTAACGCGTACAGCGTTTCCTTACGGGCACCTCACCGGTTTGTTAAGTGACGGTGAATTTTGTAAGCAGGTACCACCTAGAAGACACGCTCCACGTGGAAATCTGGACAATACCCCAGTACTGTTCAGGATCTGTGGGCTATGCAGCGTTACGAGGGTGCAGCCCCCCTCTTCCGGCCCAACGAAATAACCGTCTTTGACTTGCGCAGAAATGGTTAAACTTTGGGAAAGAGCTGTGGGAAAGTAGTCTAGAGCTGGGCAAGATGAGAAAGGTAAAGTTGTAGATAGAGGTAAAATTGCTGAGATGGAACCGACAGTTTAAAGATTTAAGAAAAGAACGTAAGCATGCAAAGGTAGAAATTCCGCAGAGATGAAGGTGAAAAAGCAGCACTAAGGACTCAGCCTGTTGCAAAAAACAATAGAACCCGATGGTCCTTCGTGTGATTCTGGGGTCAGCCAAGCCTCAGAGGGTGTCTTATCAAAGGACACATTAGTGGCTCATTAATTCCAGCTGGTCTGTGATTACTTATTAGCCAATAAGTAATTGTTTTATGTTTTTAAGTTGTGTTTATGCTGTTTGCAGATTCTTTTAATACATGGCAATAGTTATGAATGAAGTGATCTGGAGTGGGGGTGGTAGTGAAGGACAGAAACAGGACCCAGTTTCTTGCTGTGCTCTTTTTCAGGAGGAAAACACATGTTTTCTGCCCTTGCATCCATCTAGTCATGCATATTACTTGTGGGCATGCAAAACTTGGTCTTTCAGAACTTGGTCTTCTAGTAGTAGCATTATTTAACAATAACAATGGTAATGTGGTGGTTATTAAGGCTACAGTGTGCTTGAATACTGCATAATGATTAACAGCAGTTTCCTTAGAGAGAAACTAAGACAAGCTAGTGGGTGAGGAAAGCCAATTAGATACACAAAAGCAGTAGAGACAAGGTAGCATAAGCATGATCCATGCTGGATCTCTGCCCTCCTGGGGGATCCCAGAGGTGCAGTTTCTCCCCTTCTTCATTTTAAAGACTCACTGGCAGCAGGAGAAGGATAGAAATGTGACTTTAATTTATGTTCTCTGGTAATAAACTTACTGACCCTGTCTTATTTTAGGCACTGCATGTGTAGTGATGCTAAGAAGAAAAGTGACATTAGTGGTACTAGGGACATGGATGCTGTTCAGAGCTGCTAGACTCTGACTGAGGCAAGTTCAATTAAATATCAGTAGTCAAATGCTGAATAAATGTTTGTTCTTGAGTACAGGATTTCATGGTTTTTTCTTTTGAAGTGGTTAGCCTGTCTGGTGCAGCTGTAATGGTAAAATTCACATGAATGCCTTTGGTGGTTATAGACCTTTGAAGTGAACTTTAGCGTTTCTCTGAGACATATCCTTACTGTCTGGCCGTTGATGTAAGCCACTATGCCCAATTTGGGAATAAAGATCCTTCCTTCAAAAGCTAAGAACTGCCAGCTTCTGGGATCAAACTCGAGAAAGGGCTTATGTCTCTGTAAAGCCTGAATGTGACTAACACTGCTGTAGTATTTACTGACAGCAAAATAAATTCACCAGAAGGCAGTCAGTTAAAAATAAAGAGTGATGTCATGTTCTGCCTGTCACTTCCTATCACTGAGGCTGGCAGAAAGCTGTTCTTTTTATGTCTGGGGAAGCATCAGGAGTACAAGATTTTTATTCTGAAGAATCTTTCTTAGACTCCAGCGAGCAGAAGAACTATTTATTCTCTATATATATATTTGATATAAAAATAATTATTTATATTTTGGTATTTTACCAGTGTGACCATATTGATATTAAATATCACTAATGAAGTGCTTGGATTCTTTTATTTTTCCATATAAAGTACCTGCAAGTGTGATTATAAAAAAAAAAAAAAAGGAATGTGTAGTTCTGCAAAGCATAAAATTGTGTGTATTCAGCTTTCACAGTGTTACAAATGGAATGCATTTTTCTCAAACCAGAAAATTCAGGAGCCTGAATTTTTCCAGGGCTTTTAAAAATACCAGAAGAAATAAATCAGTTCTCAAGTAGCTCTTTCAGAAAGCAGGCCATGAGAAGAGCATAGGCTATCCAGCTGAGTTCATCTATACCAGCAGCGTGTTCTCAACAGTGGACTGCATCAAACACATCAGAGAAAAATACTGTACTCGCACAATACACGCCTGCCATGGGCTGCCACACTAGATCTCCTTTTAATCCTTTCACACCTGTAAGAGAGAAATTTCTAAAGCTACTATGCACCTGGAAAATAAAAAGTACATTTGTGACCATTCTTTGAATTTTGTGTTTCACTTTTTCATCCCGGTTCTGATTCTACATTGTGTGTTCTTAATTTTTCATTCTCTGCTAGTTCTGTAGCTGAATGGAAAATCAAAGATGTATTTTGCTAGTCAACTAGCATCAAAAGTCTGATTGGTCTACTGACGATTCCTTTTAGAAAAGGGAAAATAGGAATGTCTGGCATTATTTTTTTTTCCTGTGAGGCTCTGCTAGGGTTTCTCTGTTGTTTTTACTATACAGGCGAACAGGATTCACGGTATTAATCCAGATGGACAGGTAATCTCAGTGAGATGAGGGACTTTTTAATGCCCAATTTAAGAGTTTTTGAGAGGAGGCACGTGAGGTTTGCTGTATGATTTATGGCCTGGGAACAACCTAGAGATTTATAGCAGAGGAAGATTACAAGTGTCCTTATACAGAAGTGGCATAGGTTTATATTTGATGCTGTCCGCATTTTCTACCACTGTTACTGCTTTCCTCCGATTTTTGTTGCTGTTGGTTCATAGTTTATGTCAGTCTAAAGGGATGCTCTAGCAAATTCATGTGTAATTGGGATGCAGGGAATTGAGTCCTCTGTCCTGATTACTGGTTTCCCAGTAAATACAATGGGAGCATTGATCCATTTGTTCCTTATCTCATCAGCGTTAGGCACAACCAGAGAACACTGCATTAGCAAGAACTGATTATGAGCCAAGCAAAAATGGCTGTCCTGCAACTTTGTAAAGGCAACCTCAAGAAAGAAGGACATTTCGATCATTGCTGCCTTTCAGTTATTTCTGGTTGTTCTGTTACTTAATTCAGTTTGTTTCTGTGTTACTGCCTTCAACTGGTCCATCTTTTACTGGCTCCTGAAGTACCTAGAAATACACAGAAAGCTTTTGCTTAATTGCAAGCTGAGTGTTGCTGAACACTTGCAACTTTTCAAGGCTAGGTGGCTGCAGTGCTTTATGTAAGGGAGCTTCTGTCAAGTCCTTACATGGATGAAGCTTATGGAGAATTTGGCACGCTCACATTTACAGGCTCACACACCAGCCCAGACAGGTCATTAGCCCTTGTCAGGTAACATTAATTTCAAAGACATTATGTTTAAATTCTCAGGATTAACTGTGGCTTGGATTACCTGATGCCATCTTTCAGAATTTTCCTATCTGATTGTTATATCTTAATTAGCAGGTTACTTTGACTTGGAAATGCACAGTAGGAGCCGGCATATTTGAGAATGAGGCAGCCTGGTATTGGACTTAACTAATGATAGCAATTATGTGTGCATTTCAACTTCATTTTTACTCATATGGGTCAGATCCTCATGCTCTTTTCTGACTGGCAGTGCTATTTGAGAGCACTGACACTGCCATTCTTTGCTGTAACCCTGGCTTCTGTTCATCTCTGTTGCCAGAGCAAGGGTGTAGGAACTCTTCAGAGCAAACAATATCAGATACCTGATCTGATTTAATAAAGGAGTCCTGGAACTTTTCTAAGCCGTATCAGCTACTGATGGTTTGACTGGTCCCACAAAAAGCCCCCAGAAACATGGGAGGAGAAACAAAAGGCATCCGGTAGGAGGAGTGTGAATACCTTGAACAGGCATTACCTCCAGGTTGGTTGGGTGGGTGGTTTGCTTGTAAGAGGTTGCACTTTGCACCCAGGTCATTTCACTCCAGCAGTCGCAGAAATGGCTGTACTGGCTGCAGTGAGAAGGAGGTGAACCAGTAGTCAAGAAACTGGGTGAAATGGAGGGGTAGCTCATGTCAGGCTGCCTTCGCTGATGCACCAGAGTCACACAAGATTAACACCTTCCCTTTGGGCCCGAGAAAAATGTTTGTGGACATCCTGTCCTTCCCCTGATTTTTTTTTTTAAACTAGGTCAACATGTTTCTTTACATTGTGTTTGCTTTACTCTGTATCTATCTTTTTCTGGCTTAAGTTTATGTTACACATACAAAGGTCTACAGTGGAAGTAACAAGTGAAAACCACAGATGTGCAACTCCCTTCAGCTATAAGCACATTAAAAAAAAAAGTTAAACCAGAATAATACATTGTTGAGACAAACACCTCTTAGTTTTTTGCTAAAAACCAAAATTACTCTATATACTAAATTATATTCAGTGAAAGTTACTCACATGTTCTTTTTGTGGAAAGCCAACAACTGTTCTAGTATGGGGCATATCAGATACTAAAGGGCTTTGCAACAATGTGGTCTAGGCAGAAAAGGGTCTGTTCCCAGCTCTGTCATTGACCTCTCAGATCATGGAAATTATAAATAACAGGCCAGGAAGTTCTTAGCATTTTCTCTGTCATGGTCTATCCGTAAAAAGAAAAATGGCAGAATATGTTATTATCGGTAATATATGTGAATAATGTTTGTTATTAAGAATAGTTTCAGTTCTAATTGAAACTTTAGTAAGTAAAAAGAGTCACCAGTGAATGTAATTATAGATTTTTTCAGATGTGTCCAGCTTTTAGGAAAATCTGGTGGGAACTTTAAGAAACCTTAAGAAAAAAGCTTTTTTTAGTATGAATACTTGCATCTGGTGAATTATAGGAAATTCTGTTACAGTCTTATGATCTAAGGGAGATTGAAAGTTTTTTGCAAAAAAAGATATTTATTTTTGTTTTTGTAAGCATACGCTATAAAACCCAAGAGAACTAAAAATGTTTGGTTGTCATGCCATTGGCTGTACTGCAAAGAATGGCCATGGGAACACAGTGACAACTGAGGGAGAGCTGACTGTATGAAGTAGTAGTAGCCATGATTTTACTGCACTGACTCTGCAGTAGCAATCTGATGGTACAGAAGATAGCCAGTATTCTGGATCCATTCACCAGCTATCTGCTGGAATAGTCATTATCTGTTTTTTTCATTAAATACAACACATAGAAATACATAATCTATATGTGCTGGTAGGATGCTGTTCTACTCTCATGTAATATTTTTCTCTCCCCAAAGGATATTTGTATTTTCTCTGTATGCTTTTAATTTATGATCATGCATAAATATTTATATAGGCAGATGCATTCTGTATACAGAATTTTCTTTCTTAATTTTGTTATCTGTGACTTGATGTATCATGGGATTGAATTTCCCTGCTTCTATAAGTAGTTACAGAACCAGCTTTATTGATTCCATTTACATATTGTTACCATAGGGTTACAACTGACAGCTTTTAAGTAAAAGCCTTGAAGTAAAGCAGAATATGTAACATGGCATTACCAAAAGTTAAACTACAGAGCATAATTTGAGAAATACATCATATTGATGTAGCATTTAGTCCAAGAAACAAATGACAAACCACCATCTAACTTTTTTAAGATATGCAGTCACCAGGATTACAATAATCAAGTCTTGCTGTTCTAGCTCCAAATTTTTCTTGATTTTGTGATTGCATTCCTTTTTGATCATATTTTAAATAGTAACTGTTTAGGGGCTGACGTTAAAACATAAAAAGTCCCGTTGACTTCAGTAACATTTATACAGAACAGGATAAATAGAAATATAAAATAATATGAAAGAATCCAAGGCTCTAGAAAAAAAATCTACATTTGAAATGGATCCAGAATTCTCAGGGTTGGGATTTGATCCAGTGAGGGTCAGGAAGGAAAGTCCTAAGGAAAGATTTTCATAACCATCTACTGTTACCTACTACATGGGTTTTGTTTGTCCCACAGCTTACTCTGAAATGTCTTGTGGAAGCCATTATAAGAAGCACTGTTTTAGATAGCATATAGTGATATTTCTTATTGGGGAAAATAGGCTTACTCTCTACTTGCTTAATTTACTGCAAAAAGTTATGTTTTATCTGATTTAGTAATAAACCGCTATGGATTATTGCAGAACATTGCAGGAAAAATGCCTGTTGTAACAGGAGTGATGTCCACTACAAAGGATTTGGTATACACTTAATGTATAGCATAGTAGCCATTAAATGTATGTAAAGAAGATCAGGGTTACATTATTTCACAGAGGAAGATATAGTTAAGACAAATAATGCTGTATTATTTTAGTTAATTTTGCATTATTCCTAAATAGTGTACTTTATGTACAGTAATACAGAAAATTAATTACACTCTTACATTTTCATTTATATGTATCACAAATCACAAATACAAATTGTGTTGGTAGAAAATGCATTAGAGAAACAAGAAAAGGTTTCAATGATACCAACATGTGACTACCAGTATTAAAGTTCAGCTAGAAATCAATCCTGAAGTTAGAGGGCCCTTTTGTGTGTCTCTTCTTTCCACAGCATCAAAAATCTGGGGGCAGCATGTGGGGGACAGATGAATTTTGAACAATCGCGTTTACTAATTATATATGGAGATACAGTGACTAAATATGTCAGTGTCAGGTTCCTCTGGGGGCTACTAAAATAGACCATTAAAGAGGTCCCAAAATATTTAAAGTACTACCTCTAGGTACTGAAATTTCATTTTTAGATTGTATAATAAGGACATAAATAAGCTCCAAAGCTCCAGCATTACAACACAGACTGAGACTGAGACTCAAAGGCAGAGTTCCTCTCTATGTAAGATGTCTTCAGGAGCGTTCTCAAGAATGAGTTTAGGACTGTGTAGAGATTAACATACTTTTTGGTTAGAAATTCAACACTGAAATGGTCAGGATTTCTTTGGTTGATAAACAGTTTTTCAGGATGTCTCACGGTTGGGTTTTGTTCGTTTTTTTTTTTTTGTTTTTTTTTTTTTGTTTGTTTGTTTGTTTGTTTGTTTTTTAATATGGATTAAGGAATTCTCCACATAAGGCTGTAATGTTGAATTATAACAGATGATAAATGTCACATGCACAAAACTGCTAGAATCTGTTTCCAGTAAGTTACTGACAAAAATCCCTCTGAGCACTTTGTGGTCTCAGGCCTCAACATCTATCAGCTGTCTTGAGATGAGGTTCTCTGCTCTACCTGTAAGTAGCAGGAATCTCAGCCTCCGGATGATGGAGACTTGAAATAACTCCATACATACTGAGTTACTCCGGAGGAAATATGTACTGATGGCCTTTGAATTACAGCAGCTCAGCTCCCCTTGCCAGAAGTACTGCCAGACTCTTCCAATAGTTTGTAACATAGGCCAGCTTCACCCTTGTGTAAAATCTCTTGCAAGACTATAGGAAAGCTCTCTGCAGGGCATCTCTCCTTGCAGCATGGGGAAATTCAACTCTCACCCCACCAAGAACTGAGATTTTAAGATTTCTGCACCTTTTTTTCAGACATCAGAGCATGAAAAGTTACTTGTTCTTTAATACCTTAATCTGTTTGGGAAATGTGGGTGATCTTGTAATGGTTAATTGCTACGATGATGTGGTGTTTTCTTCTGTTTCTTGCACTCCTGTGGATGTACCATACTCCATCCCTGGGCACAGGGCAGGTAAGCAGAGCTACAGCCTGTTCTCACAGGAAACAGAAGAAGAATGTCAGTTTCAGAATCTGTTCTTTCTCTCTCTTCCAGTGCTGAAACGTTAGCATCAGTTACCACCACTAGCAGACTGCAGCATACTCTGAATGGATATTCTCACAAAATGAACTTTCTGGTTCAGACTGTTGAGGATACCAGTAAGAAAGCTAGATGTATTTTTTTCTTTTTACTGAATAGATGATGATGACCATTGCCTAGGTTTTTTTTCTGTTGCTTCACATGTATTTTGGGCTCTTCCATCATTTCCTAACACAGGTTAGAAAATGGAGTGGAAAGTAACACTGCAATTTTTGAAACAGTAGTTGCACCTTTTGCTAAAATGACTTTTTTTTCCAGATGTTTTGTCTTTTTGAAGCATAAATTAATAATGTCTTTTTTTTTTTTTTTTGGTAACACAGTGTAAAAATTGAAAATAGAGCAAAAGACCAAACTATGGTAAGCTAGTGTATGAGTAAAAGCTATTATGAAAAATATGAAAAACGATGCAAGTTCTTGTTTCCTAGTAATAGTTAAACTCTGAAAGGTTTAAATGTTAATACTTCTTACAACTTAGAATTTTATTAATGAATTACTTGTGTTTGCCAGAGAGGTTCACATTTATGTTTTCTTTATTGCTATTGTATACTGAGAGTTGAACACCAACAATATTTGTTTTAATGCTAGAGTTCTAGCCAGCATTTCTGATTTTGCAGTCATTTCCATGATGACTTTTCTGAAGGAATCTTGCACATGTGAGTCTTGTTCCTTTCCAGCAATATGCATAACCCTGCTTTTTTTCTGAACACAGCTGGGAACAGGACATAGTTTCCGTGTTCAGAATTTCAGGGTCCCCACCAGACAACATTCAGGCACATGCACACACATACACACACACCCACAGTGTCGTATACTTTTGTTGCTTTTATGGACAGGAGAATCTGTTGTCATCTATAGCTCCTGCTGTCATAAACCAAATGCTTCATTTAATAACTTCCATAATCTGTCTCGCTCCCTGCTGTTTCTTGCCTCAGATGTATGGAGCTCCCCTGCAGACACCTCCTAACCCTCCTGGCTTCAGACCAGATTGTTCAACTTCCACTCCAGGCTTGTCATTCTGGTGAAGGATTTGAGCAATGACTTCTTTGACTTCAGATTAAAAAGAGAAAAGGTATGTTACTGTATCTGGGATGGAAGTAGGTTACCACTCCTACTAACCTTAAGTAGGATTTAGACCTTTTCATAGATCAGAGGTACATCTCTTGAAAGTAAGATGCAGTCTGCCTTTTAGTGTCTCTTGCACCGTTTCTATCATATAGAAAGTCAGATAGGACTTTCTGAGCAAAAAATCCACACAATGTGCCTGGTTCCCAGAGTGGAATCCATCATCCTGAAATTGATGTGTTTTTTGTGTGCTTAACAGGAGCAATTTAAGGCTGCAATCTAATAGTGCATTGTCTCTAAAGGAGAATCCTTCTGCTAGTAGCTCCCCTCAAACCTCTTGCAAGAAGGGCTCCTCTGCCTGCAAGGTAATGCAGCTCAACTCACTGCCTGTGCAGAAAACCATTGACTTGTTTTTTTAATCAAAGTTTTCTATCTGAAACATAAAAAGCAGATTATAAATCAGTTCTATATACCAGCAAATAAAATAGGTCAATGATCATTCCTTGACCCACAGGTCAGCTAGCACATGAAGTCTACATCAATATGTATAAATTTTTATTGCCCCTTTTTGTCCATAGTGTTACATACTGTCTCACAGCTGATAGTTACTGCAGCCACATTCAGATGATGTTAGTAACCTTTGTAAGCACTCCTCTGTTTCCGTTCAAGTTTGACCAGGTTAGCCTAAAAACTGCTTAAGATATAAGCGCATAGCTGTATGCTCTGATACTATCCCTGCCATTTATCAGTACTCAGCAAAATGAAGTGTGCTGATAAAGTAGCTTTCTTGCCTCAGGTATAATTACAATCTTCTTGCAACAGCTATGCTAAGTGATTATAATTGGGGTGGGGTTCTTTTTTTGCAATCCCAATCAAGACATCTATGTCAGCAAAGGATTTAAATTTAAATGAGGACTCAGACTTGTCTGCATCCTAGCCAGGTCACATTTTCAATTCTTTTTTAGTAACACAAAGGCATGAACCTTAAGAAGCAAAATCATGAGAGTACAAGCTAACTTTTCTACTTTGAGTTACTCAAAAACCATATTGCCTTTCTACTTCTTAGACTTTTAGGTTGCTCTGTTAGTACAGTCCTTGCAATTTCTGTGTGCTCAGTTTTACAGAACCCTAGAGGTATGAAGGTAGGTTTGTACACTTTTTACATGGTGACAAATACTGATGCAGCTGTGAAAGACCAAGAGCCATCTATAACAAAGGATTTAGGGGCCTAATAGGACATAGGGGGGATGTAAGTAAATCCAGAATTGTGACCCTGAAAGCCACCATTTAACTACTGCAAAATATTTAATTCAATTTTTTTTCAGATACCCCTTGTTTAAGGGGTAAGCAGCATAGCACATATGTCATCTTCAAGTACAATCATAATCCAGAAAGTGGCTGAGGGTTTTCAAGACTTTGCTATCTAAGGTAGGGATATTGTATCTCCTAATCTGTTACTGAAGAGATGAGGACTTCTAACTGATGTGCTAAGGATCTTCCTCTTACTGACTGTATGAAGCGTCTACATTAAACAGACTGAACAATCTCTTATATCCTAATTTGGGAGACTAAAACTGCCTTCCTGTAGTATGCACCATGCATCAGAAATGCCAGATTCCTCTTTCTTGTATCTAGGTGACTGTTCTCCATCATGCTGTTGTCATTCATCTTTTATGCACCAGCCTACTGGGATTTCCATATTCTCTGATCCCTCTGAAATAAGCCCAGTTTAGGGCTTTTAGGTATGGTCTTAGAGGGCATATCTAGTCCTGAATCCTAAAAAAGATATTTATTCCATGCATACAGGTGTCTTTGTCCAAAATGAGCTCAATAGACTTAATCTGAACTCCAGATAAATATTAACTGTCAATCACGTGAATCCATCAAATATTCCATTCAAGGTTTGGTTTGTTGTTGTGCATTTGTATTTTTTGTAATGATGAAAAAAAAGATATATTGTGCTCTGGACTAGTGTACCTGGTAAAAATCCTTGAATTACAGAAGTCCAGCTCCAAATATGTACATATATAACTATTCCCACTGTACGAGCAGGGTGCAGTAGCCTACAGTCACTGATGTCTGCAAGTGCTTTTGTGTGATGAAAGATTGGAACTCCCTGAGCAGTTATGGAATCAACTATTCTCAAGGTGGTGGTGCCTGGAGAGTGAATAGTCCTAGGCTGAGGAAGACTAAGAACAAAGTGCTACACGTTCATATTTCTGCCACATGCTGTGTTTCTAATGTGTACTTGCTAGCTCTTTTTGTTCTGCTCATCTTCATATATTGTTCTGACTTGCAGGGCTTTATGATTGAAGAATTAAAAATCATTTATTTTAAACATCGCAATGATCAAATTGCTGGTGTGCATAATTATTTTGTTCCTAATGAACATTCTAGGCTGTGGCAAAATTTCTGCTGAATTAGATATTCATCTTCTGGATGCTGTTTCAGGCTCCAGAGCTTGCCTGCAGTAAGGCCTGGTGCGTAGCTACTGCTTCTTTCCTCATGAGAGGGGACTAGCAGCAAGTGGCTCTAACAAAACTTCATGTTACTCACCATTCAGGCTTTTGAAGGCAGAACAGTATGGTCAGCTTGCCAGCTTTGATTGTGGAAGAGATGATAGAAAGTGCGTTGGTTCTGCAGGCAGACTAAGCTACTACATCTACTAAGCTGTGAGTTATTTATATGGACTCTCCTTCAGTTTCTAACACCTCCCTCTTATTCTTATCAGGGAAATTATTGGTTGTCTAATTGTTCCAGAATTAAAAGTGCAGCAAAATTTGTCATTCTTTAAGATCTTCACTATCTCCATGCTAATTTCTGTGTAAGAGGGACCTGAACTTAAGAAAAAGCTGAAGGAAGAGTAACCTGAAGAGGCTGTGGTTCCTTATGAACACTGATTCTGAAAACAAAGGCATGCAAAGTGCTCTACACTGAGGCCTGCCCTTTTGTTAGCAGCATGATGGTGCCATGGCTTGCACCAACCTCAGTAAAGCATTATATATACAAGCTTATTCACCACAGTGGAAAAAGCACTGCAGGAGTGCATGGTCTCTCTACCCCTTCCTGACCAATTTCCATGTGGTTCACCACATTTCCTTCACCAGGCATACCATAACCCCTTTTCATTTGGTCATGGAGCTTCCCACACATCAGAGCCTCCAGCCCCTCTTGCAGCAGCCACATGCTAAATGGAGCAACTACATTTTCAGAGTCCTGACAGTGAAATATGCTTGCTTGTTGTTAGAAATACACCTCCTACTTCACAGAAATAAAAGCTGTATGTCACATCTAACGTGCCAGACTATTTTGCTTTCAACAGTGCAGAAGTGGAGAATGATTTTGTTTAAAGCAGTCTCAGGCTGAGCCGTGTTTAACTGCTCTTTGGAAATAGTGGGGGTCTAGAAAAGGGAGATGAAGGAATAAAAAATTGTTAACTTTCATTGGCCACCAGTTTAGCTGCAAACAGTACTATATAGGTTGCTTAGAGAACTGTTTGTTAGTTTCTTTTCTAACCTCCACTTTCTTTTTTCCTTTCTGTAACTGTTAAGGACTGCATCCAGAGCTGTATTCAGAACAACACATGCAGTGGAGAAAGCATTACAAGTTTCAAAACAGGACTTTACACACTTTGCTACCCATCAGAAAGCTTTCTTCCTCCTGTAGGGAATGTCACATCATCTGACTAAACCTGTTCCAAATGAAAGAACCAGGCCAAAGCAGTAACCTAGACAACTCCAGTGTTACAGCAAACACTACTATTTAGGTATCTACTACTGAGAAGGGAATAGTTACTCCTTTACCTGTTTTAATTTCCTGTTGCCCTCGGAGCTTCTTTTAAGCAGGGCTGTCATGCAGTTGGTGTTTGTCAGCTCCACCAATAAGCAGAAAACTTGAGGCACTTACAGATTTTCTTCTAGCTCCATTTGCAAGCTTAGAGAATGGGGTTGCAGGTATTATTTCTTCTTCCTTTTTTTCATGTTGGACCTTTATTCTGTTTGTTTGCTTTAGATGCATGTGGTTTTGCCATGTAATCTGGAACATGCTCAGCTGAGCAAACTGCTCAGAACTTAGTGTTTGATATTTTTATGGTTTTAATCAAAATAGTGCTGCTTGGTGTATTTTCAAATGTAACTAGGATTTGGCTGCATTTATCTGGCTAATTTTCAGAACATTGAGATAACATGCATCAGTACGGCAGGTTTACATTCAGCTTTGCAAATCAGGGAAAGCACTGTAAGAGGAAATGACGGATTAAGTACGGATGAGTTGTAAAGAGTCTCTGAGAACAGAAGGTTTACAGAATCACTGATTGCACACAGTCACTAAAACTTGTGGTTATGTGGGGAACTCACCATAAGTCACCATAAGTTTCAGAATCTTGCAAATCCATACTGAGGTCTAAACTGAAGAAGTTTTCAGTGTGCATAGCTGAGAGTGATACATGATCCTGATATAGGACGGTTATCATTTTAGATGTTATCCAAAAACTAGAAGGAAAAACCACTTCCTAGCGTGGCTGGAACCACAATTCAGTATAGTGTTCATACTGGTTCTGGTGACAGGAATTCTGAATTTACTTTTCCTTTATGGTGTCAGAAGGAGTAACATAAAATTCTCTATGTATGTTTGAAAACAGTATCAGTTTTAAGTTCAGCCCAGCTGTACCCTGAGGCTGAAACATGGCCATGTTTTGGCAGCAGGGAAAACTGCCATATGTTGCTGTGATAAAGAAATTACACTGATGCCAGTCTCTGAAGTCAGACTTATAAAAAATATCTAAGGCAGTATATTTGTAGCAACATAAGCTTTATATATATATATATATATATATATGTATGTAAGAGTCTGACAAGTCTGTATTTAAGGATAGTTTTTATGTCACGCACTTTGTAAGTGCTGCAAGCCACAATTCACTATTGTTCTTGAGAGAGGTTGTATACAATACATAAACCTATTGCATTTCCCCATTACAGAGAATTGCTTGCTGTCTAGCTCCCAGCCTCCAATAGCCATAGGACAGTTCCATTCCTTGAATAAGTTCTTACTGACTGGCTTTTAGGTAGTGAGCACATACTGGAAATTGATAAGAAGATTCCTTTTTTTAGCAGTCATTCAGGTCTCTAAATGAGAGCACAGATGTGGAGACCCTGACTGTGGCTGGCAGCAACATGACATGCTCTTTCTTTTTTTAAGGTCAGTATAGACCATCAGTTTTTAGATCTCATAAGTGACTTTTAGTGCTTTTAAAATCATTAATTACTTTGATTTAATGACAGCAGTATGTCAGGGATCTTTGAACACAAGAGACTGTTTGTATTCTTGATATGCATGTAACAAAATCTATTGTAGGATCTATTAATAAAATGTGGTAGTTCCAAACCATATCTACTGCGGCTTAATGCAGAAAAAAATATCCAGTACAAAGTACTGATCTCAATCGTAAACCTTCTGTTTTCTATTGTAAACACTGAAGCTGCTGTTTCTCATTGCTGAAGAACTGCTACTGATCCATAAAAATGACTGAGCAGTTTCAGATTCTCTCCCTTTACCAGTATCCTGCGACACATTTGTCAGATTGCTAAGAAGTTGCTGAGAACAGACAATGGATTCCACCAGCACCTTTTTTGTTTTCACTATTTATGTCCTTGAGCTCTTGAAATAAATTATCCAGAGATGCAATAAACTTGTTTTGAAGCAGAAGTTTTACTGCTGACTAGGTCCATGGTTTCCAGGTAAACATTTTCTTGCCCAGCAGTGATGGTGGTCTTCAAACTTCTAGTTTTTGACAGTACACCAGCTAATTTCTTCTGTACCTTCTGTGCTGACAGATCCAGCTGGCTTCACAGCAAGGACACTAATACATTTGTGTTCTTTGTATTACAAACTTTGTCATTTCCACTTCTCTTAAATTCTCCCATATTTTTCAGCTGACTAAAAACCACTGGTTGTCTCTTCCTGTATTTTTTCAGTGTGAGACATGGATCTCCTAAGAAGACATTAATTTCTTTTTATGACCCTCCATCTCATCAGCCACAGCAGAAAATTTCTTTGTGTTATTCTGAAACTGACAATTCAGTTCCAGGACAATTTCCACCATATAGCTAATATATATTTAATGCTCTTCCTAATCCACATATATGCTCCTCAGTCAACCTCAACAGCTTTACTAGCAAATGGCAGAGTCATGTTTTTTTCAGACATATAAGAAAGCAGTGGTCAACATTTTTTTATCAGAGGTGAAAGCTGGTGCAGTGCAGTGTTTTGACTTTCAGCTTGGGAACAGAGCTGATAGTGATGTTTAGGTTTGGCCAAGGACTTTGTGAGCCTCATGCTCTGCCAGGGAGGAGGGGAAGCCGGGAGGAAGCAGAGACAGGACATCTGACCCAAACTGACCAAAGAAGTATTCCATACCACAGCACGTCATGCCCAGGATGCAACTGGGAGTTAGCCGGAAGGGCTGGGAGACTGCAGGGTTGGAGGAGGTATCGGTCAGATATTCTCTTCCCTTGTTATTTCCTTTATCATTATTATCATTGGTGGTAGCAGTAGTGATTTGTGTTATACCTTAGTTACTAAACTGTTCTTTGTGAGTTGCATTCTTTTCGATTCTCCTCTCCGTCCCTCCGAGAGCAGGGGGACAGCGAATTACCTGACTGAGTTTAAACCACGACAGTTCTTTTTTGGCGCCCAACGTGGGGCACGAAGGGTTGAGATAACGACAGATCTGACCGGATTAATAGTCACTCGTCACAATGCTGATTTATTGGCTCTCAGAGTTGTTTTGCTTGATCTCACAGCTTCAGAATGTTGTAACTTAGTAGAGCCGGTATTTGCTGTGTTAGTGTTTATCAAGTATGGGGCCTGGGCTAAGGTTCTTGTCTCACTGTGCTTTATGGCAATGGCTTGTAATACGGGCGGGCTCCAGCAGCAGGGCGGGACGGACGTGGCCGTGGACTTGTACCTGGCCGTCCGGCTGCTTTTCACCCTCCTGGCCCTCGCCCTACTCTCCATCTTCGTGAGGCTGCGGGGAGCCGAGGGGGAGCGGCCCCGGGGACCAAGCGGCGGCGGGAGCGGGGCCGGAGGCCGCGAGGGGACGGCTGCCGGTGGAGGAGGTCGGGGCGGTCGAGGAGCAGAAGGAAGCGGCTGCCGAGCAGCGGGAGAAGGCGGCGGAGGAGCCGAGCCCCGCGGAAGAGCCGAGCCCCGCGGCCGAGCCCAGCCCCGCGGAGGAGCCGAGCCCCGCGGAGGAGCCCAGCCCTGCGACGGCCGAGAGCATTTCCCGGAAGCAGCCCGCCGAGCCCCAGGAGGATGCAGGAGACCACGCAGCATTTCCCAGCAAGGCAGAGGGGGAAGAGCTGGACTCAGGAAAAGAGAAGCTGGCGGTGGGAGAGCCGGCAAGCACAGCAGCTACACCAGCCCCAGTGACAAGCACAGCAGCATCAACTGAGAGTTCTGAAGGTTTTGAATGGCCTTTGGGTATCCTTGGGACCTGCCTGCTGATTGTGATGGGGATCAGCATGTTGGCACACACACAGACTGTGTGCTACCCACAACCATTTTGTCTGATCTCAAAAGTTAAGCAGAGTCAGGTTTGGGTCTTGTCTGGGGTTAGACGACGATATGGGGGGACCAAGAGATTTTCCCCAAGGCTGGACAGCCAGGAGTGGCAGGGTGTGTGTGACAGTATGGGCAAGTATCTAGTCCACTGGGCCCCTCCAGTGCTTTGGAAGCGTCGGAGATGGAAGGCAGCTGTGTGGAGCCCCCAGCAACAAGCTGCAGAAACTGCTGAAGGGGACAGTGAATTATTTTGAGCCTGGTGGGCCCATGGCACTTCAGGCCATCAGAGCAGAGATGCAACATAGAGATGGACTCATGATCGAGGGGTGGACTTAGCAATGGACACTATTGCCCAGGTTATTCACGAGTGTGAACACTGCACACAGTCTCTCCTGCTCTGGAAGACTGTTACAAGAGATGGAGCCTGACATCATGGACCAGATGGACTCAGCAGCTTTATAGGGACTGGTCCATGCACTAAGATAAGTGATGGTGTATTGAAAATGTGGGATCTGAGCATGACGTGAATGGTATGGAATAAGGGGTGGATAATGTCCTGGGTTCAGCAGTAGCAGTCATTTTTCTCCTCCTTGGTAGCTGGTGCAGTGCAGTGTTTTGACTTTCAGCTTGGGAACAGAGCTGATAGTGATGTTTAGGTTTGGCCAAGGACTTTGTGAGCCTCATGCTCTGCCAGGGAGGAGGGGAAGCCGGGAGGAAGCAGAGACAGGACACC